AAAAAAAAAAAAAAAAAAAAAAAGAAAATACCGCCGACCAGTTTTATACATTAATACTGCAAAAATAATTCGCACGGCTTTGGTGAATAACTTCGGCTACTGACGATTGAAAAATCATCGGCTGCGTAATCCTTTTTTGCATGTTTAATCGTGACACGTCGACTATGGCAATTTAACAGGAAGTCTTGAAAGATTTACTTGATCTGGAATGTGTTTTGGAATTGTCTACTAACTTGTCTTAATGTTTTGATTGATTTATTGAAATCAGGGTAAAGTTTTTACTTATTGTTGGATAATTAAAATGATTATCTTTTTGTTTGTTTTTTATTGCCATACTCTTGTTCAGATGTTTAGAATAGCGATGGGTGTAAATCTCTCGCGTGTTCTCGAACAAGCATGTTTACACGTAACACAAAAGCATTTGGAACTACTTTAAACATCGATATACTAAATGCTCACTGAAAATAATGTCAATCATTCTCTCGGGTGCTTTCAATGTTTCGAATGTTCTGAGTCAATCAGTGTTCCTTAAAACAACTTTCCGCTATCTTCACAGATTCGATAAATTCTTTTATTTTTCTCTAGATTCTTGTAAACTCTCAGTTCATCGCAAACATGCTGGGTGTAACATGTTCATGAATTCGCTGGATAAAATTTAAAAAAATACTAGCGAATCCAAACTTCAGCTGTCCGCAAACTATCGCACTTGCCATACTCATAAATTCTTCAGGCACAAAAGCTGGCTACGTGTGTCGGCTCTTTCCTTGTTGGTATGTCACCGAAAACTTGTTAAACAGTTCACAAACGAGCGAGATGTACGTTGGCCTGACGAGAAATGGTAGCAGAGAACATGATGCCGATTTTATCAGGGGCTATCATCGGTGTCGCACGCGACTGTGCCGGAACTAATCGCGAACGGGGCAGGTATTACGATGAGCTGAATAATTACAACAACCGGTGACAATAATAACAATAGCGTGTTCGAAAGACGTGGGTTGACCAAGCAGGGAGAAAAGGTGATGAGGGGATTGGCCTCGCGTTTTCAGGCCATTGCACTTGTTACCCTCTCCTCTCCACCGCCGACTCACCCTCTGTCTTCCTGTCCTTTTTAACCCCTTATTATTTCCATCGTCTTTTGCAGAGGCACGCTCCGTCGCTGCACGTCGAAAGTTAACCACCAGCCACGCGCTGTCATACCACGCATCCCTCGATATCGATCTGGGTTATACCGCTTTTGGTTGAATTTTCAAGATCAGTCGTTTTCTCGAATTTGAAGAGATTCCTTTTTTCCCTTCCTTTAATTTTCCGTGTGGCTAAAATTAGTTACAGAAAATTAGTTGAAGTGATTTCAAAAGATTGTAGAATATCTTGGTTTGTAGTTTTCACTGAAATTTGTACGGCGAAAGATCGCAGATTAAGTGAAGGAATAGGATTGAGGTTAGGAAACATTTTCGTGCTAGTTCTGTTTGAGCACGACAGTAAAAATCTTGCTCGTTAACGCGGCGAATTTCTGGATTCTTTGAAACAGCTAGCCCTGGAAATTGTCTTGCATTTTGAACGGCTGGTCAGAGTTACTGTCGTTCACCAACGGGATTGGCCAACATTAAAATTCGGATTGAAACGGTTCAACAAAGCCACGTGGTTGCGCTGAGTTTTCACGTTAAAACAAAACCTGTTAACTTCTCTGTAACTGAATTCGAAAAATGTTTATAATTTCTTTATAACGCTGAAAGTGATAGTCTCCTTTCAGCTCTTAGAAGCAAGAAGGTTGAGGTATTCAAAAATAACAACAGATCCTAACCTCAAAGTTCACTTCTAAAACGAATTCTAAACGATTCTCTCCTA